AGACGGTAATTAACAAGTTACTCCAGCAAGTAACAAGACTACAAACCCACACAGACGGTAAGTAACAAGTTACTCCAGCAAGTAACAAGACTACAAACCCACACAGACAGTAAACGATCGAGTCCATCTCGCCTCAACACGGCCTGGTTCAACATCCAACATGGCGGTAAAGTGAAATATTGGCCCGAAACATTCACATCTCTAAGCTGGTTGTGATCACACACGGAAGGAGATGTGGGTATTTTAATAAACGTCCACAGCCACACAGCCGAGGTTTACATTCAGCTGGTGCGGTGGTTCATTCATCAAACAAAGGGAGGCGACTCCAGTGTCAATAGTTACTCATACCATCAGCATCTATGCTAGCTTGTGTGTGTGTGTGTGTGTGTGTGTGTGATGTATGTAGGTGCGTGTGTAGTTTCAAAATTCAGTCATTACTTGAACATACCAGATCTAAGTACTTGTAAGAAAGGCTATTAGAAACGTTAAAGCTATTTAACCGGATAGCTTGGCTACATCACCGATACCAATAACACTGACACAGGTTAAAAAACATCAATACCAAAAACAAATACTTGGATTCGATACTGTATTGCCCTTACGAGGATTCTACAAGAACTCTATCCATCGAACTTAGTTAAGACTAAACTACAAATGGATTCGATACTTAGGTTTCTACAAGTACTGACACTGATTCATACACAATAAACTCCAATCATTGAATTTAGTTAAGACTAAATTAAACATGGGTTAGACATTAAATCGATTAGTGACGTCGACGAGAAATAAAAAGATCCGATTTCATTTTTACCCATCGGAATCAATTGTCATCCATTAAGTTTAATGAACTAATTAATTAAGATTTGAGCAAGTTGACACCGTCTCTCAGGTAACAGCGATGCTGTGTAGAGGGAGGTGGGGGGGGGGGGGGACGGACGGGTGACAGACGCATGGAGTCCGGGAGAAGTGTAAAGGGGGGGGGGGGTCATTGAACCAGGGGAGGGGACACAGACTAAGGGAAATACATTTAAGGATGGGGGGTGCGGACAGGGAGATGGGGGGGGGGGGGGGTGCAGAGGCGAAGCGAGTGGGGGTGCGGACAGGGAGGTGGGGGAGGTGGATACATCTCTGTAAGATACGTCAATGACGTGGCTAGACGTCACTGTTGGCACTCTCTGTAACACAAGAGAAGGGGAGACAAGTTAGTCTGGAACGGGTGACCAAGTTGGTAGACCTAGTTCACCACCTGCACTTGATTATAACTGAATGGGTCGACCCGACCTCTAACCTTTACATCATGTAGTCAGGTTCCATGACGTAGATACCCCCCCCCCCCCGTTTGTGACGGGCAGGAAATGGCGTAGATACATACACAACTTTAATGACCTTAACATTGATCACGCGACCTGTAAAAGTAAACTCTTTAACAAAAGACCGATATACACACCGTAGTGGGTTAAACATGAAGTTTATTTACCAGACGTTATTTCTTTCGATTCTACTCTAGTAAGAAAAGTTAATAATAAACAAAAATAAACTTTTTGTTAATGTACCAAAAGCAACTATAATTTAACTCAACCAGTCAACTATTCCACCCAACCAGTCCACTATTCCACCCAACCAGTCCACTATTCCACCCAACCAGTCAACTATTCCACCAAACCAGTCCACTATTCCACCCAACCAGGCAACTATTCCACCCAACCAGTCAACTATTCCACCCAACCAGTCCACTATTCCACACAACCAGGCAACTATTCCACCCAACCAGTCCACTATTTCACCCAACCAGTCCACTATTCCACCAAACCAGTCCACTATTCCACCAAACCAGTCCACTAGCACATACTCCACACAATGATTAAATGTGTAAAGTCGAACAACAGGGGTTCGGTGTTTATTTTGTCTAGCCACGCATGGCTGATCTTTTTTTTTTTGTGCCGACCGACCAGCAAAAAGATTTTGACTTAGATCGAAAAAGGCGGGAAGTTGACACCCATTGACAGTCGCACGAAATTTTTTTTTTTACATTTGGTGAGGTGAGGGGTGGGTAAATCATACAGCTGGATGGATATCTTACAAGCAGGTGAAAAGGGGAGGGGCTGTAACGGTACACAGATTTCACTCTCCCAACGAGTTACAGAAGTTACACGGCTTAACGCAGGTTGGAGCCAGATCTTCAAGTAATGTGTACAAGACCAAACGGTTGATGTAGCGACCCGTATGGCCTTTGGAGCTTCTGATACACCTGATGCTATACCTTAGACAATAGTCGCCAGTGCAATCAATATGTAGGTTAGATGTGAACATGTATAGATTCTTATATACACACCAGCATTTCTGCAAACAGAATTTCTTTCAGGCCCCCCTGAAGGAAGTCTACCCCCCCTTCCCCTAACGAAATGAAATTTATATAGAAAATATACACTATGTCCGCCCGTAATATTAAGTCCCGTCCCCCCACCCCGAAAATATCAAGTGCCCCCCCCCTACCCCGGAGAAAAAAAAGTCTGATAGAAACACTGCCTGCAAAAAAGAAGTACAACGTGAATGCTATTCGAATCTCTAAACAGCAACATGTTGATACCACCCACACCACCCCCAGCATCACACACGTGTTGTAAAGCACTTATGATCCAATAACGTGAGCAGTATTTTTAGACCACCACCACCACCCGATCGATCAACGCAAGAGTTTATAGCTCTGTCGTCCGTGTCCGACTCGAGAGTTTTTCTTGTGCGGCTGGAGCTTTGTGGAGGCCGTGGCATTAAACGTCAAGATTAAAGCGAGGGGGGGGGGGGGGGTAATGGGATTTGTTGCTTTCTGCTTTTTAATAATCTAGAATCACAAGAATAGCAGGGGGAGGTAACAAAGTGGTGTTCATCTATTCTAGGTTGTCAATAATGTCAAGTATACAAGATGACATGATAACTTTTCTAATATATTTTTGACTGCTCTAATGCCAAGTCGTTTTTACAGCAACCCCTCCCCTGCTTATTTCCTCCACCATTCAACCGTACTTACATCTGATAAACTAAGTCAAGTATGACGGCGATGTTTTTTTTTAAAATATTTCTCTTGATAAAATCACGTGACCGTGTCACGGTGAGTGACCTTGTCACGGCGCCCCCAAGCTCCACAAGGTGAAAACACATACAATCGGCAATGGGGTCAGGGCACTTTTGTTGCTCGCCCCGGATCATGTTGACAAACTGGAACATTACCAGGCGATCTTACTTGAAGCAATGTCGCTCCAGTGCTGCTACAGTGGGGTGCATAGGGTATCACGTGATACAGAGGTGTAAAAACTTGATCAAATCTGATGGGATTTTGAGGACTGTGCCAAGTAGTTTTGGATAGGTACAACCACCTGAGAAGCGGGTTGTATGGCAGATATGCCCCTACTTAGAGGGGTTCGAGGACTAACCCGTATTTAGAGAGGGGTTGAAGGACAAGCGTTGTACCCGTATCGAGGGACGGGTTGGACGACTAGCATTGTACCCGTAGTGAAAGGTGGTTGGATGACTAGCATTGTACCCGTATCGAGGGACGGGTTGGACGACTAGCATTGTACCCGTAGTGAAAGGTGGTTGGATGACTAGCATTGTACCCGTAGTGAAAGGTGGTTGGATGACTAGCATTGTACCCGTAGTGAAAGGTGGTTGGATGACTAGAATTATACCCGTAGTGAAAGGTGGTTGGATGACTAGCATTGTACCCGTATCGAGGGACGGGTTGGACGACTAGCATTGTACCCGTAGTGAAAGGTGGTTGGATGACTAGCATTGTACCCGTAGTGAAAGGTGGTTGGATGACTAGCATTATACCCGTAGTGAAAGGTGGTTGGATAACTAGCATTATACCCGTAGTGAAAGGTGGTTGGATGACTAGTATTATACCCGTAGTGAAAGGTGGTTGTATGACTAGCATTGTACCCGTAGTGAAAGGTGGTTGTATGACTAGTATTATACCCGTCGTGAAAGGTGGTTGGATGACTAGTATTATACCTGTAGTGAAAGGTGGTTGGATGACTAGTATTATACCCGTAGTGAAAGGTGGTCGGATGACTAGTATTATACCCGTAGTGAAAGGTGGTCGGATGACTAGCATTATACCCGTAGTGAAAGGTGGTTGGATGACTAGCATTATACCCGTAGTGAAAGGTGGTTGGATGACTAGTATTATACCCGTAGTGAAAGGTGGTTGGATGACTAGTATTATACCCGTAGTGAAAGGTGGTTGGATGACTAGTATTATACCCGTAGTGAAAGGTGGTTGGATGACTAGTATTATACCCGTAGTGAAAGGTGGTTGGATGACTAGCATTATACCCGTAGTGAAAGGTGGTTGGATGACTAGTATTATACCCGTAGTGAAAGGTGGTTGGATGACTAGTATTATACCCGTAGTGAAAGGTGGTTGGATGACTAGTATTATACCCGTAGTGAAAGGTGGTTGGATGACTAGCATTATACCCGTGTTGAGAGACGAGTTGGAGGACTAGCATTATACCCGTACTGTACGGGACACACCTTACACTCCTACGGTAGGGGTAGTGAGTGTCGAGTGTGGGGTGGGTGGAGAAGTTTGGCGAAGATTTGTGGACTTTTTAGCGATAGGTCGTAGACGAGTCTAAGATTAGAGCTAAGACGGTTAAGCCACTGGTTATGCAAGTTTTATGGCGTTTAGTTGGGCTAAACACTTAAACGCGGGTTAAGACACTGATTAATTAAGTTGTATGGGGTTAAGTTGGGCTAAATATAGAAACGTCAAACAAGTGGTATAGGTGAACTATTCGACTATTGTTTCCAGCCATCATATTACATGTTTTAAAATTATAAACAAGCAGTTTAAAGAGAAATTGAAAACTAAGTTTAGTTATACAATTGTACATTAGATATAATTATAATTGATGACAGCTAATTTCTAACACACTAGAAAGCCTATAAAAACGAATGAAAAGTGAAAAAGTTAAAAAAGTTACTCAATTTCAACTCACCAAAAGTTAATGACAAACAACATTCCTGACGTCATCAATTGTAATCCATGAAAATATAAAAGGGGCTCAAGGTATCAGCCTCTGGTGGTCACCCAATGACCAACACAACAGAATAATAAGGGAACAAATATCCTCTAACTGTCTAGTCCCACAGAAATCATCTTATAGCTGGATATACAGGCAATGTTAATTCACAGACGCCTTACACAATCAACACATTACACAATGAGCATTTAGTAGGCTAGGTCTGTATAACCGAGATCTTATAAGACACAAACAGTGAGGCATACAATACGAAATACCTACATTACATTTCCAAAGTCCTCTCAAATTTCTTTGTTTCCTTTAATATTTATTCTAAATGCATTAGCACCCACATAAATATTTCTAAAGTTCACATTAATATATCTTAATTATCTATTCCTCCTATAAATCAAGGAAGCGAATAATTAACACAATACTTAATGAGGACTTCAAAAAGAACATTCGCGCCATATGGTACATAGATCTATAAGTTTCGTTAGATTTTTTATCAACCACAAAAATAAAATCAATTTTATTTCCACGGCCACACCGGTTTCATAAATCAACAATCATACTTTTAAAAACCTCCAATATAATCTGTGATAATCTGCTTCAAGTTTTCGGCGAATCAAATAAAAAAATGAAACCACAAGGCACGGCGTTTCCAAGAATTGTATCGACTGTCAACTCTCCCGCTTTTCTCGCGTCCCGTGTGAAGGTTCACTACCGCGTCTCGCGATGTCTTTTTTTGGTCCACTCGCCGCGTAGCCAGCCAGCCAACATCGGTGCGCGCATACCGCTAGAGTACATCCCCCCTTCCCACCTCGTCATTGATCGTTCCTTTAAAAGGTGGTTTCATCATGATTCAGGTAAATAATTCCAGTTAAATTTATCCGAGCAACCTGTCCCCTAGGAGGGCGAGAGTCGAGGGAGGAAGTTGTTGCGAGTTTGATGCTGACCCGTGGGGTCCAGCCACGGGGTACAGACGTGTGCTTGTCCTTGGGAGAAATTTATACCGTGGGGGTGGGGATGGGAGGTGGATGGTGAACTGCAGGTGGTGAGTAGGAGGGGAAGGGGGTGTCTGTGCCTGTGCGTGTCAGGTGTTACACGCACATTTGTGCAGTAAATGCTGACAGTTACACCACGTTTTAAGACGTTGTCAGTAAGTAAGTCACTTGTATTTATATTCATGTTTTAAAAATAAATATTTTCAAATAAGTAGAGAATAAAAAATTTACTGGATAACAATACAGGCTGAATACAATGTAACGATGTTTGTATAGAACGCTAATTGTATAGAAAGTAATTAATTATTAATTAATTTACTTCTATTCTAATACATAATGGCTAACCACCCCCCTCCCCCACACAGAAAAAACAGGTAATTATAAAGTGTAGCTATATATGACCACCTGTTTGACAAAAATGTAAAGAATAATAAATCCCCCCACCCCCTAATGAAAACAAAAACAAAGCACCGCCTTCCCTCACACTAAAAAGATAAGAGCAAACACATTTTTAGACATCTTCAAATTTTTAGCATCACTTGAATGCAACAAACAAACACTTGAAGCAAGTGGCCACTGTGAGTACTTGTCCACTGAACTATAACAACAACAACAACAGAGGAGATTAATAAAGAGAGAAAAAACCAACCACGACAACAGTTTACCAACTCTCAAGACAGTTTTACCTGTTCACGGATGTATATCATCTTTAACCCTGGATATTATATTACACTAAAAATCCCTAAACGCGATAATAAAAAAAAAAACCGCTGGAATGTGCTATTGATAACGACCAATTGTACATAGAGAAACCTGACTCTGTAAAATTCTTCACTAAACATTTTACTAGTCGCTCAGGTAACCTACCATATTTCTACAGTTGGTAGGTAACACTAAAAAACGACACAATAACCAAACTATAACTATCTCTATGGGCTAATAATATTACCCTTACATTAAACCTAACCGAAAATACTAAAGTACACTCTTGACATAAATAGAACAGTAAAAAACTAAACTACTCGATACCACCTTCCTGCTATAAGACACATCCTCCTTACCACACGATCAAATTCTTATCTATTACTTTACAATATTTTTTTCATTACTATATTATAGCCTGATCAAATCTTTTAAACTACTATTTAACAACTTTAAAATTCTTAACAATCTTTAAGGTACACATTTATGCTCTACAAGTGAACACAACATGAAAGCACAACGTATGAAAAGTAGCGCATGAGAACATACCATCAAGAAACCAAGGTATGAAAAGTGGTCCATGTGAACACACCATAAAAACACAACGTATGAAAAGTAGCGCATGAGAACACACCATGAAAGCACAACGTATGAAAAGTAGCCCATGAGAACACACCATGAAAGCAAAACGTTTGAAAAAGTGGCCCAAGAAAGTTTGAGTAAAGTGACGGTGAAGTGGCCTAAGCCCCCTGGCTATCACCTGTCATTAAGTCAACTACGTCCCACCATTACCTCGATGTTTATTAGTCACGTGACCCCCACACCCCACCCCGGGCGCAAGACTCGCCTGTATCTAACACAACCATCAGCTCCTAGATCAGTCAAGACATACTTTCCACCGTTTCATCAATAACTTTAATACCAAGAACAATTAACATCATGGGTTTTCGGACCTGAGTAACATAAAATTGAAAAAAAGGCGTAGAATAGAAGGTAAATAAGGCTGAGAGGGGAGGTAATGGACTATCATTGACTGTATCGTCTTTTACTGCAATACGCGTAGTATGGGAAGGAAAGTTAACAAGGGAGGTAACAACTTCACAGGGAGGTAACAGAACTCTCAAATATTAACAGACTTGCGTCTCGTATTTTCTCTCGAAGCCCAGAAAGTGCAGAGCCTAGTTAAATAGAAGAAATATGACGAACTCCCCCGTCCCCTCCCCACCAATCCAACCACCGAGCAAAGCTGCACCCGACCCGGGGGTAATCAGGCTTCACGTAGGAAGTTAGGTGAGGAAACCAATCAGATACCATATCACCTACAGCTGGCTAAAACGATATTGTAGAGGGGGGAAAAATCAATTTCCACCCCTCCGTTTCGCACCAAATACGAAAGCATCAACTATCGTTTAAATTACATTAATTATTAATTTAAAACACACAAACCTCATCCAATCCATACTCAAGGTTTTCACATATTAATGACCTATCACACTATTAAAAAACAACACTATATTTTTTACTCCCCTTTAGTGTACAATTATTCCCCTTCGAACAACAATCATACAGGCAAGTTCACAATAACCATCAACATCGTTCAGCTAGCATACTTTAAATTAAAATGTGTTTGAAAAAAATTGAATTAAAACACAAAGACATTGTTTAAAAATACAACAAAAGGCAGTTGAAAAACAGGTCCTTAAAACAGGATATGACGTAACACCGGATAACAGCACTGTGCAAATTGATTTAAGGGGGAAAACGGGTGCCTCGACACACGGGGTTATATGCACTAGTTCGGGGATGTTAAGTTAATGATGGTAAACTTTCTGCCTGGGGTGGCGAGGGGGGAGGGGGGGTAGTGTTTACCGGGCCGACATCGAGCCACTGGTGACAGTCTTTACAGGGCTGTTTCAAGTTCCTCAAGGGTTTTTCAACATACCGTCCGTGTGACTTAATAGCCGCGAGCCTATCGACGTATTGGTGATATAACCATGAGCTTATAGTCGTGTAGGGGATACAGGTAGTGTAGTTGATATAACCACGAGCTTATTGCGTGTGATATCACGATAAGCCGAATACCGCTGTGGTGTAGGTGAACTGATCAAAAGGAAGCGTCATATCAATCTAAGTCCCAATCCAATCGTATAGCCAGAGATTATTTCAGCTAATTTCTTGTCACGCCCGCAATGAGAACCAGTGTTGGTAGTCCAACAGCGTAGCTAAACATCTTAAAACAGGCACCAAACATGTCATTTTCCTGACCATATTTAAATGTATATAGAGAGCACGGACTCTAAGTACACGTCTCTGTTGGTACCCATTCTCTAGCATAATCCCATGCCGTTTACACAACTCAAGTTTGCTGTTTTGATACGAAGCCACTACCGAATGCCACAACCTATCTACAGCCCTGTCTCTATATCAGAACCTACACGACATGAGTACATCTCACTTAGTACACAGCAAGGCTTTACGACGTCCTTAAATCACATTAGTTAATCCCAGACAATTTCCTACTTCAATACATCACATTCACTAACAAGCGACACCTCCCCCACTAATAGACAGCTGCAACAGCTTACCGTAAATAACGCAATAAAAGCAAAGGTGGAAGTTAAACACAACCGCATCTTGTGGGTTTCTGGTGCATGATACTATTTTCCTAACAGTATACAAAAAAGCTCAGACATGTCAACTGACAATGATCTCATGACATATGACGGTGCCACATGTCAACCGACGGTGCCACATGTCAGATGACGGTGCTACATGTCAGATGACGGTGCCACATGTCAGATGACGGTGCCACATGTCAGATGACGGTGCCCCCGTGTCAGATGACGGTACACATGTCAGATGACGGTACACATGTCAGATGACGGTACACATGTCAGATGACGGTACACATGTCAGATGACGGTACACATGTCAGATGACGGTACACATGTCAGATGACGGTGCCACATGTCAGATGACGGTACACATGTCAGATGACGGTACACATGTCAGATGACGGTACACATGTCAGATGACGGTGCCACATGTCAGATGACGGTACACATGTCAGATGACGGTGCCACATGTCAGATGACGATGCCCACATGTCATATGACGGTACACATGTCAGATGACGGTGCCCCCGTGTCAGATGACGGTGCCCACATGTCAGATGACGGTACACATGTCAGATGACGATGCCCACATGTCATATGACGATGCCCACATGTCATATGACGATGCCCACATGTCAGATGACCGTGACCCCATATCTGATGACGGTGCCCCCTACAGTTCAGAAAACTGTGCACCAACATCGACATAAAATACCAACATGCACTTATCTACAGCCACAACATACCCTTACCTAGAAACACCCAAGGCGCCGGTGCACCCCCCCCCCCCATGTACCAATACAAGTTTACCACATTACATAACGCCCCCACGACATCCTACGATGGTGATGGAGTGCTCCACACGAGCACCACATCCAGACGAGCACCGGGCGACAGACCTTAATTACCTCAGCTTCCCACCAGGCAGGTCACAGAGTGCACGTGCCACAAGCAATGTCTTGCACGAGGCCCGTGAGCAGCTAAGGACGGCGCTAGAAGGGGGAAGCAGGTAAAACTCTGGTCCGTGGCACTGTGATGGTGTTCTCTATTAGCCCGGCCTGAGAATATCAATGCATCATGTGCTCGTGTCAAAACACGCAGGGAAAGGTTGCAAGAGAAGAAGAAAAAAACACACAAATGCATTATTTGACTTGCTTGAGTTATTTTTTTTCTTCTATACCTGCTTAAGTTTTACGTACACCTAATCTTTCCGGCATGCCCGTGTTGTTTTTTATTTTGTGTAGCGTAGGTTGTTAAATAATTAGAAGTAACAAATCTTTGAAGGGCGTTGACACTAACCAATTTAGAATAATGCCATACATTTTTTAACACAATACGCGGAACATTTGTTTAATAATGAATGCCGGTGAACGGAAA